AAGAAGATAATTTATATAACGCATTCCTCAAAATCATTAAAGCATCATACTTTTATGTGAATATCATTTGTTATGAGATCTTTTTCATTTCGGAACCCTCATTCTCGTAACTTCCTTTGCAGAAAAACGATTTTTTATCCAAGCAATCCTCTTGCATGCCGCTCAAATGAGATTCATTGACTCACATAAATTGGCATGATTTCCCCATATTTATTGACATTGTACTCTTTCAAAAAACCATGTCTCTCAACTGTTTTGATTATGATCAGAATTTGACCGCTCGAAGAAAGGATTCGTAACATTGACATCATATCCGCCATATACGGACTAATTTCCCGACGTCCGAGATTGTCACTATATAACACTCGTTTAAACACTTCCACCACTCTTCAAACTTTTCAAACAAAGTCTCAAACTAATCCTCTTGCAAATTTCAGAGTATTCGCCTTTTTTGGGCGAATGTGCGCCCGTTCGCTATGCCGGGTCGGTGTGGTTTCGGTTATCATATTCTGTCTATGGTACTCACTGACTAACTACGGCTCCCTTAGGGATAAGCAGCATTGCGATAATTTACCCAGTAGTTTATACGTCCATCCGGTAGGTTCAAGTACCCTTTAATTAATTGGTATAGGCGGTTGGAATGGCGACCGCTCGCACCCGCGCCGCATCTGCGTCTTTTCCGGGCGCATGCTCTCTGATCACTCTTTAGCCTTAATTAGGTCACGAGATCCCGCCTCCCAGCCGCCTATCTGGTTGAATCAAAGAATAATTTCACAGCCCTAGATAGTTCTATGAAAAATCACGTTCCAGATATATCCCATAGAATCAACACCAGTGATAAAACGCGATCCGCGGCCGGCTTTTGCACCACGAATACGTCTGCTGCCGCATTCATTATGTGAATCCAACATTTCCGTGGTGTTTGTAATCCACTCCGATTTGAAAAACGTTGCTCAGCGTCAGTTCCAACGAAAACAACTCGATGACGCTTGGTTAGATCAGGTAAGTGAATGAGCGAGAACTGGTCCCCATTGGTTCTTAAACCTTTCATCATAGCTCCACGCTAAGCGCATGTTCGTTGTGGGAAGTCCTTCAATACTCGAAGTTGGAAGCAAATACGAGGAAGAGGCCAAGAAGTACGACGATCTTCTACAAGTGGATACCATTGAGCACTACCATAATATTACTTACAAGGTAATAAATGTAAAGGTTACTGTCCTTCCAGCGAATACGTACTTAGAGTTCAGGCCCAAGCATGGATTCAACTTCTAACAACGTGCCCGCATCCTCCAAAATTCGTGATCAAAATTGACGATGACGTCATGATAGATAGGATAG